ATTTGTGTTTTGAAGAAAATCGAAGTGGATCTTGTCCCATGGCCAACTTATTGGTGCTGGAGGCTAGTTTTGTGGTTGGCTCTAAAGGTCAGATCACCACATAAAGTTCTGGAATGCAGTATGCAGGAGTAAATAGATGTGTCATAAGCTATAAATTAAGCACACAACACACCCACTCCAATAAATATCTCTTCAAATGTACTCAAATTTGCTTCAAAATGACAACTTTAAAATCCATGAATGAATGCTATTGTCAAATCTGTTAAGTGTCCTAATATTTACTCACATGTATGCCAGCAGTATGTCTCTCCATGCAGACCATAAAAGGAAGTAAGAATTCATTCCTAGGCCGGCCAGCCACATGCCACATACTACAGAAATGGACAGGCCTGCTGGGCCAGATGCCCACATGATAGCGGCCAACCCCTTCCTGCAGACTGTAAGGGGGGGCTGGCCCAGCAAGAATTCATTCATAGGCTGGCCGGCCACATACCAACATACTACAGAAATGGACAGGCCTGCTGGGCCAGATGCTCACATGATGGTGGCCGGCCCCTTCCTGCAGACCGTAAGGGGGCACTGGCCTACTCAGCCAGATATGAGAAGCAAGCCAGCCGGTCCCTTCCCACAGGCTGCTACTGTGGGCTGGCCCTGTGAGCAACAATTGTTCCCTAGGCCGGCCGACACCCTGCCACATATTGCAGAGGCAGGCTGGCCTACTGTGGCAGAAACCAGCAGCACAGCGGCCGGCCACCCCATACAGCCTGCATGACCAGGCCTACCCACATGTCAACCACAGCCTGGATATGTATATAGGTAGTGCCTGCAAGGATCTGCATCACCGGCCTACACAGATACTGCAGAGATATCATTCTGTATATAGGACACCGGCCTGCACAGGCTCTGCATGACCGGCCTATACAGGCAGTGCATTGGCCGGCTGGGTGTCCTGTACACCTGGTTTTGCAGGTCAATGTACATGTCTCATCAACAGGTTATGCAGTACATATGACTGAAGGGTCTGGTGGACCACAGTGAGTGGACATGAAACATTGAATTGAGAGAATAAGAGATAGATCGCAGGTGTTCTTTGATCTGGCCGTTGAGGAAACAGTCTGCGAGGTCAATCGCAATTAGAGGCCATATGAAGACACTTATGGATACAAATTGACCTAGGATCATCGTGAGCTGCGAACAACTTCAGAGAAGTGGACAAACCTTCAGTAAGGCAGCAACACCGACAATAAATTGGGGTTAACACATAACGATGGCCTTGTTGTTTTTAAAGACTACAATAACATTGAGATTGATGCCACGCAAAGTGTAAAGTATACAATATTACTACTACGTTAAGTCTACATGATAGAAAAAGAAAGTCTGTGAAATAAGGTTTCGAGTCCTAAGTAGTGAATGGGAGAATCAGACTCCGCCGGAGGTACCCGAAGCGGCTGAGTGGCTGAGTGGCTGAGTGGTTGAGCAGCTGCTGGCAAGTTCTGTTGGAGTTTCGACTGACTCGAATTCACTATTTAGGCAGCGAATCCCTGTTTCATTGTTTTCTTTCCTCCTATCACAGTCGTTCACAATCATTATGTTAATCTTTTTACTTATGCAGACTGTAGAATTGTAGACTCATAGACTTATATATCTTAAATTTCAGTTTGGCTGCGTAGTAGTTTTGTAAACTTTTGTAGTGTTGGTTCTGGTCTCCAACTGCATTTCGAAATGTTGTGTAAGTCTTGAAAGACACTAAAGTTGCCGTTCGGTGATAAAGATATATCAAAGTTCAAGATAGATCATGCAGACCGAAAGGAAACGTTGAAATCTCCCGTCAAGCCTCACAGAACGTCCCTCCCTCCTGGTACCAACCATATATTGGCACGTATGTACTACGTCCCTTGCCCCTATCACTTTCCTTATCCAAAAATTTACAGGGTCCAAAGTCACTTAGTGACTCTGACACTATCAAACCAACTACATCCCGCCAGCAATTGATTCACGCAGCTGATTGGCATCTGCGCACTGCTAAATATATGATCTCATGGCGGTAAGCTCATATTTACTTGCTCAAGTTCATCTAATGAGTTATGCCTGAACACGCTAGGTCTATTTGACGCACGCTGCTTGACACTATTTTATCGTTTATCATGCGCTATCAGCGTACAGTCATGTTTACAGTATGTACCAGATCTGAGTACCAACTTATCATGTGCCAAAGTCCTACCAGGTAAGTTAGTACAGTAACAATCATGAATTTGCCAACAGCTCACCCTGTTCATCGGTTTAAGTACCAATTCAGATGTTCCCCACTGCATTGACACAGCGTGACAAAATCCCCTTGTGCACACCGGAATGATATCCAACTGGCTATTATAAGCACTACTCCATATCTGCGCGCCAAAGTCACTGTAGGCTAGAAAGGGGTCTTTGTACCCCGCAGGCACTGGTAAGTAACCTCGGATTGTGATGTAGTAAACCCGATCATGATCTTGCCCTACAAAGAACATGTGTTCAATGACACCAGGGACCCATTTTTCCGATGTCTTGAAGAACATGCAACTATCCAGAGCGGAATAGTTGCAGCTGCAATATTGCAACCCTCCTATGTTCAGCCGTTTATACTCCGTGATGCGGTCGCTCCCATAGAGGTGAGTCATCCCTGTCTTGTCCCAGGTGTGTCGGAGGACATCGGACATAGGGGCCTTGATGATATTGGCGTCGTCGTGAGAGACATATGGGATTGATTCCATAGCTGTGCATAGGATGCCGGTGTCTGTACAAAATATTCCTTCTGTGAAAGGAGCGCAGCATTGCTGCAGAATATCAGCTGCTTTGTTGATAATATTGGGTGCCCCAGGCTCTTGAAGCATTGCCTTCACACTTGCAGCGATGCAGAATGTCTCTAGCATAGTTCTTTCCATTTCCCCTGTAAAGCCTTGTTCAATTTTTCTCTTCATATTTCCGTTCTATGCTCACCAGTTTTGTGATTCGTAATGGTCTTCTGCAGGCCTCCAATTATCCTTTCGAAGGGAAACATCCACCAGCCATGCATGGGTCCATATCTCAAAAGGAACTTGTGTAGGTGGAGGCATGCGTGGTGGTTGGGATGGAAAGAATAGCCTGGAACGACATCTCGAATGCATTCCAGGTAGGCCTTCATGTATTTCCTGTATTGCTGAGCGTGGTGTGTCAATGTTATATGTGACGTTCCCCATTGTATTGCCATCACCAGCAGCATAGTGCTGTGAGCTAACTTCTGCCTCCGTTCTCCACCACCACCATATTCCGCCCCCCAAAGTTTTACTAGAGTCACTGGTAAGTCGAATTCAATTGCCGAACGCCATTGCTCTGCCTTGAGCTTGCCGTGCTCTGCATCTCCAAGGTTTTTTGGCGGCCCCCGGTGCCATGAAGGTCGCTTGATGCCGCTTAGTTCTGCTTGAATTGTATTAATCTCCTCGTCTGTCAGGGCTTCGGTAAATACGCCTTTCTGGTCATTTTGTTCTTCTACATCGGCCGCATACTCCTTCACCAATTCCTCCATGACAAATGCTTCGGTATCCACTTCCATCTGATCCTTGTCATTCCTTGGGACATTGTGGGTGGGTTTGGCCTATTGACTTATCAATCAGGTTTCTGACGGGTAAAAATGGACAGTGCACCAAAGGTGCTTTGACCATCTTCTTTTTAGTGGTACGACCCTTGCTCGACAACGTTACCCCTGCCTCTCAGACAAGAGCTTGAAGGACAGGCAGCCGTAAGCGGGTCATGGCGGAGGTGGTGGGTTTCGACTCCAAGACTGCTCTGCCCTTGTCTAAATCCTTTGGATCGAAAGCTCTGATTTCTGGCTTTCTAATTGCCTTGCTCGCCTGTTTGTCTATAGCGATGAAGTTTCTGAAATGGTGTTGCACCACCCCCAGGAAGAGGTTGTGCATGCCGTCGATGACAATGAACCGCACTGGATCCCAGTAAGGCAGTCGTAGAAGCTCAGACCACCTCACTCCGTGTCGTGCAAAGACCTTATTGCGTTCTGACTTTGTTTCCGCATTTTTCCATTCTTCTGCAGCTGCCCTGTGTTCCTCGCACGTACGTTGCTCCCATGTGTCATAGTTGAAGTTCGCAATGTCTGACTTGTTCTGCCAGCAAAGTCCACACATCTGATTCGCAGTGGGACCTGCACGTCCCGCAAGTTTGCGAGCGGCTGGTAGATCATTGACAGCTACTGCAATAACAGACCTTGAAAGTCTCTCTTCAGGATGCTCAAGTGTCCTGGTAAACCACGTCCCGTCTTTCCAAGACGGTAGGAAGAATTCGATTACTGGACGAAGGAAATGATTTATCTCTTCAAGAGCTGGTTCTCTAGGTCCGGGGATAATGCCAACCAAGTACATGTTTTTGGGTCTATATCGCAGACTGGGTGGGAGGTTCAGTAGCCCCATTGCAATCAACCCAACTGATTTCTTCTTGCCAGAGGTCTTATTTCTGTGAGGGTTGAACCAATCTGTCGAGAGACTCCACGCTAATCTCAGGTCCCTTCTCTTCAACCCATCCATGAATGGTTTCCTGTCAGGACCTAATATATCCTGCATCACAGTGCCATCCTTGATATCCCACAGGTGATACTTTTCGTTTATCATCGTTCCACGGTCCATGGCTTCTTCTATTCCAGGCCGACCAAGCAAGCTGGCAAGGAAAGCATTGAAATCTTGAACAACGTATGGGCGCACGGGCGCCCATGATTTTCGCCCTTCGTCCTTCGTACATTTCATCAACAACTGACCGCACGGCATGCTACCTCAGTACTTCGTATAGGTGCAGCGTTCCGGGTATGGGGATTTTTTTCTTGTGGTTACGGGCGGATACGTGCACGAACATCTTGTGCAAGTAGCGAACATCCAAGTAATTGGTTCTAGGTCGAATGTTTTGCAGACGGTATGAATATTGGAAGGGATGGCCGGACCAGTGGACTTTCCAAGCGTGGTCTCGAGGAGAAGGTTCAAAAGCCCGAGAACTGCATTGCACCATGGCCTGGTAACGTGTCCGAAAACATTCAGGATTAAGGCAATAAGCATGGTCAGGAGTATGGCGGGGGTTGGCATTGTGGAATCTTCGTCTGAAATTAGGTTCTGGTTATGATTTAGTATGCATTCCCATTTATCCAATATCTCTCACCTGTGTTGACGGTTGTTGATGCACTATTCAGGTCTTCCTTCGTTCTATGACCCACCACATCCACGATACTCCCCACCGCCTCTCTGATCTCATGCAATGATTGAAGAGATGCATGCTGCAATTGTTCATTACAAACATCGTCATCTACTCGCATAGCTCTTACCTCCTCCTGCGCTTTTTCCATCCAATTATACTCATCAGTAAGCATTGTTAGGACCTGTTGTCCGTCAGCTGAGTCAAGTTGATTCACAGCATCGGTCACGCCCTGAAGACGAGCGTGCATCTCAAAATCAAGGAGGTAAAGCCTGCGGTAATCTTCCGATGCTTGATCCTGAATTTCTGCTGAACGCTCCCTTGCAGCTCTGGTGGTATCATCTAATGCGCATCAGCTGTCAACCTGGATTGCTTCAGTAACGTGCCCGTCCTGTGTCCTGTCTTCCAGTGTTAATTGGAAGATGCTTCTGACAAGGTCCTTGTCATCCTATTCCTCTACTTGTTAACTGAATGCATGCGTTAGATTACATCGTGTTGTGTGACCTACCCCTGAATTTGGCCTTTCCAACATCATTGGGTTATCTTCCTGGCGTCGAAGGTGGAGATATAATTTGGACACTTAAAGAAGATATCAATGATTCATTCGGTTTTGTAGTGAACGCAAGGTCACTATTGATTGAGAATTCTTTTCATTCAATGCGTCTCCTTCACAAAATTCCCTTGTATTTTTACAACAATTTATGTCACACGACCAAAAAACCGGATCTCACTAAATTCTCTTGTAGTTGTTTTAATTCGTACGTCACATGACAACTGAAAACCGGATCGGGTTGATGTTAATGTTAGCAATTTGGTTGTTTTAACGACTTTGTAAACCTATTGTGTTGTAGTATGATTGATATTGTAAGCTCGAAGGAGGAGGGAGGGGGAGTATGCCACATGTGTTCGAGTCCTGCAGGTGGCCGTGAGACTGGGAGTAATGAGTAATGAGTCGAAGCCAAAATGTGGTGCAGGGGACGACACTGAATGACTGCTACTAGTAGCGTTGATATTAGACGCGTTGATATTAGGCGTGGAGTCCTTGCTGAGTGGCGCCCGGTTGCACGATCCTGTAGAGTCTGGAAAGAAACATGTGGGGTCTTATTAAATATGCTGATTCATTGAAGCACAGATTATCCTGAATCTCACCTGATGAGCCTCTGCTGCTGCCCTATAGCTCTTATATGTTCCTCCTTGAACTCCAGCAAGGGCTTCTTGAATCTGCGACTCACGCTGGATCATTTTTCTTGGAGTTGGGGTATGGGCACCCCTGCCCTGAGCATGCCCCATGCGCCGTTCCGAGTCAAGACGAGCACAAATGCTAATGGTGAATGGTTCGGCAGATCTGAAACTCCGCTACGGCAGACTTGGCTCGGTGACAAGTAGACGTGATTTTTGGCTCTGTCACACCTGAACAAGGATGTCAATCATTTCTCGACCAATTTCAATTATTCAACTTCGCAGTAGTGTATTATAAGTGGACAAAATATGATTTGAAGCAGAGTTGAGTGAGATATTGCAAAGTGTCCGAACTAGTGGTTGACCGAAGTTGTGATTCTCGAGGCGTTGGCCCTGCTGAGAGATAATGCTACTTTGGTGCATACCTATGACGTATCTCCAGCTGGGTCTCAACAAGTTGTACTCTAACACTCGTCAAATTCGCATAACAGTAGGACTACTCTTACTATAAAGCATGTAATTCTAGTCCTGTGATGACAGCAAAAGATTGTGAAAGTATGACTCGTAGAATGAAAATATTGATGTATCAGACACACAGACTGGAGGGAGAGAACAAGAATATTGCGATCTTGTCATCGGAACCATGTTCCGGCTCATACAACCAAAATTTGACTCGGATGTCAATAATGAGGCTCGAAGAACTTCCTCTGGAGGATGGGGCTCATCAACTGCTGCATGAGATACCCATGTGTTGAGGAGCCCCTCGATCTCCTCATGAGTAACACCACCACGTGTCTGATCGGCATCAGCATCAAGAAATTTGTAGTGCCATGCCTGAACTAGATCCCTGACTCCACCAAAGTAAGTTGTCATGCGATTCATCAGCTCCTTGTCGCACTGCGGCACGAGCACCAACCCCGATTTATATGGAGTGGTGGTGGCACCCATGCCCTCAAGGACTTCACCCCACCGGTCCGCCTTCCTCGGGTCTGTTCTACTGCCCTTTGGCCCATCGAACGAGGTAACGAATTCGATGAAAATGTAGAATAGGGACTTGAGATCATCACTAGCAGTATGTTTGACCATCACATTTCCCCAACCCTTGGCTCTCGCAATTGCAGTTATTGCATAGAGAAGGCGGATAGACATGTATGGCACGGTGCCCTTCCAACAATGAGATTAGCCCCTTATATTATATTAAACGCCGAACTTCGACTCACGGTACCAGGTGAACGAACACTAGTGCTGCCTTGCGTGATGATCTGGGTGTGGTCAAAATTGATGAAGAAGCCACATCCTTCATGAATAATTAGGTTGTTGGGGCTAAGGTCTCCGTGTAGGACTTTCTTCCTGATCATTGCCTTGTGTGCTAAAAAAAATCAATGTAAAGATTAAGCTTAATTCGAACAGTCAAAGAAGAAACCCACTGACTATGAGGTCTCGAAAAGCGCTTATTAGCTCTCGTTTAGTCGAAAATGTCGACAGTGGCTCTCCACAAGGGGTCAAAAGCATGCGTTGGTGATATTTACAGCGAAATTCAGGACTGAATTTCCTGTGGCGGTTATGGATGCGCAATGTAGAGTCGGGCTCTCCCTCGTACTCAACATCCCAAGTGGCAACGAGAGTAACTACATTAGGAATGCCCCGGACCATCTCAAGAACCTTTTCTTCATGATCTTTCTTTGCCTCATCCACCCAACAATCCTTTAGTGCATATTCAACTCCATCCTTATCCCAAACGTGATAGCAAATAGTCCCGTGAGAGAAAAGACCCTGGCTTCTCCACAAAATAGCGATGATCAATAATTTCTGCTTCTCCTTGTCCTCTATCCAGCCGATCGCCTGGTCCCCCACTTCGCATTGTGTTTGCTTGCAGGACTTGTTGCACATGTGCATGGTGGGATCCATGCCATGGGCTTTACTGTTCCCCAGTGACATGGTGTTTAACATGTCGACCAGATGCGTTGGGTTTGCTGTGATTAGGATGGGACATGTAATGATCAGGCCTGAGCGGTCCATGTAATGGGCACGAAGATGTTTTGCTGCTAGGCTGAATAAGACGACAAACCGATGCCAGGGCTGTTCTCGCATCATGAGATAACCTTTGGTGATCAGCCCCTTAAACAACGGTATGTCATGGTTTGTGCCAAGATCAGATTCAGTGATCTCAACACATGTGAGGACGTGTACCCAGCTTTTCGGTTGAACATCGCGATGAAGGACTAAGCCAAGCCTTTGGATGTTGGTCGCGTCCAAAATAGGAGCAAGGCAGAACTCCGGTGACCACTGTCGAGGCAGGTGTTCGAGATATTTGGGCTCGAAAGGGAAGATAGATGAACGTTGAGGGCAAGTTAGATATGAGATGTGCATGGCTGTATAGATGGTGTTGAAAAGAAGCGCCCATTTTGGTTCTCGTGTGTGCACCTGCGGAGGCAGTTTTCTCGCCGGACTTGTTGGGTAGAATTCTTGGGAGCCCCAGCTCTCAAAACTGGTGTCAGGTGTGGATGAAGAATCCTCGTCCGCTGTCCTAAACACCTCCATTCCAGTGTCATCCTGCACCTGCTTCAGCTTCTTTGCTTTCTTCACCCCCCGTAATGTATTAAATTTCCACTTCTGACCGACGAGAATAGGCGCTCCAGTGGTGTAGGTGATTTTCTCGATAGTTGATATGTCAAGACTCGATTTCAGGACAATGTGATCCATGAGAGAAGGAGTAGTGGCAGGGAGATCGATTTCTTCCCATAGGACATTACCTTCAAGACCTTTGTCCAAGAGTTTGTCCATATGTGACTGGTGGGGGGGTGAGGTGAATGCACTCAATGAGTTGAACGTTGGCAAGATGACAGATGTTGAGGTGCTCGTCATGGTGGTGGGAAGATGAAGCGCAGCGGCTCATCATCAAGATCTATATGTAGATATCAGTTTTTCTTCATTCATAAAGCGCGTCATCATACCGGATATCAAGATATGCCAGATAAGAGCCTATGCCATTTGAGGAAATAATAATATGTACAACTATATGTATAAGTTGATTATATTTAGTAACAGCTAAGTCCACGTACATGTATAGTGGGAGAGAAAGAAGGTACATCAAGTGTTGTATTTGATAAGTAGTGAATCAGAATCAGACTCAGCAAGCTCCGCCGGAATACGCAAAGTCTAACTAATAACTAATTATACGAGTCTACACATTTTCAAATTCAACAATTAGCAATAAGTGCAGAAGCAATATTAAGTGCACGATACGGCTGTAGACAAGAAATGCATACGACGCCCAGCTTAATCTTAGGCTCCAGTCTAACGAAGCCAACACAGATGCAACATTCCGTTAGGGTGGATTACAATAGGAGAAAGAAAATCAATGAAACAAGGATTCACTGCCTAAGTAGTGAATTAGACCCAGTCGAAGCTCCGACGGAACTTGCCGGCAGCTGCTCAACCACTCAGCCACTCAGCCACTCAGCCGCTTCGGATACCTCCAGCAGAGTTTGATTCTCCCATTCACTACTTAAGCCTCGAAACATTGTCACACTCGAGCTTTCCCTTTTGACGATCATGTTTATTTTGCGTAGCATTAATGTTAATGTAGTCCTTGTTCCTTGAAAACAACAAGGCTGTCGTTATGAATGTCATAACCAATTACCAAAATTGTATGTAACTACAAGGTAGTGACTTTGACTGCAACTAACTGCATTCCGTCAGCATCAGGATGTGCACATCGCCAAAATATATAATGTCCTATTGATCATAATGGTAAGCTCATTGTTTCTGGCTCAACAAGTTCATCTAACTGAGCTATGCCTAAAGCTGCTAAATTGCGGTACTGTCGCCACTTCAAGCCACTCACCATTCATTGCGAGTTCCCCCCTGAATGCAACTACACCCCTCCACCGTTGACACAACATCAACTGTTTTCACGCAACACAGACTCATCAACCTCTGATGCCGCACAACCAATTACACCAGTGGCTCAGTTACCCATCCCTCTGCCAGCGAAGATTCTGAAACCGCGAGGAGACATCTCCCGTATCAGTCGAGGAGGATATAATTTACAGGAGGCACTTGGCTGGCCTGCCTCTGAATATGAAGAAACTCGTGTGTGTGTCCTTGTAGCTGTTGTATCTTGTCTGTTTAATTTTTTCCATGCAGGCTTTTGTTTCACAACTAGCCTGTGAATATCTAAAAGTCAACAAGTCCTGGAGGCTCCAAGCACAGCCCAGATTAGCCATTGTGTATGCAGAGGTAGGTATCAGTCTGGTCAACGGTATTGGTTACTCATCTCCGGTAGGTGCAGAAACGATATCCTATCCTTGAATGTTATGATGGAAGTTGGGTTGTTGGCAATATGCTCCGTATATATTTGAAAAATAGTTGTAGCTGTGATACTTAGGCATGTGAAATACCTGACAATACCAAGCAATCTCCTCAGGTTGAAAGAATATATAAAGCAGGTTGGTAAGTCAATTGATTGCCGTCGTCATTGATCTACTCTTACCAGATCAATAGATGAGATTTGATCGATGTGGAGCACATGTCTTGTAACAAACAAATGATAAATCTTCATTCATTATTTGCAGCAACCATATTGACACTATTGTACAGGGGTACCAGTAGACTTTTAGATGTTCGAATAATCAGTCTGGAAACTGTCCCGGCATTGTGGCAGGATACCCTTCCTTTACATTAGGAATGATGGTGCTCTGGAAGGTTCGTGAACTCACCTGTCTTATGGATGATACCTGGAATTGATGACTTTGTAGTTAGTGCAGTTCCGATAGATAGCAGGCCGCATTTCACTCTGTGGGGGATGATAAAATTGACTCCATTGAGGAATCATTGTGCAACCTCACGTGAGATGAGGTAGCCCTGTTGAAGCTTCTATAATGACAACATTATTCATACAAATTAATATTGCCAATAATCCGCCTTACACTATGTTTTCCAGCTTGGGCTTGGTCCAAACCTGCGTCAGGCAGCATGATATCATCAACATCTACGTCTAGCAATGCAGCTTGGAGTGCAATGTACATGCGCTCACATAACTGGTCAGTATTGGCATGATCCCTCTTGCAGTGATTATTGATATACTTGTTAATGCCTTTGTGCAGGCTACAAACAAGTTTCCTTTTTTTCGGCGACTGGTACTGGTACTGCCGGGCCTCACTGCAGTTCATCATCGGAATGATGGCCAGGGGTCCGATCTCCTTTACTTTACAGTAAGTTGCAGTGTTGACAGGTGGTGAGGAGTTACTAACCTCGTTATTTGCCATTGCGCTGTCTACACAGCCATATGTTCCACTCCCTGCACTGATAGGCAGGTTGAGATCGAGATCCATAGCAGATCCCATCCACACGTCCTGGAAATGTTTAGCAGGCAGGAATTGTAGGTAATTAACTTACTTACTTTGTCGTCTTCACATTGTCGAAGCTCACGCTCATAGGACTTTATCGATGCCTTGATACCCCATTCCATTTCCTGCATCTCGTATGCATTCACGGTTCCCATGAGGGAGCGCAGTGTAGGTCTGCCATACGGGTTGAACCATGTATTGATAGCGCTGTGTTTGCGAGAAGGTATTTTTGATGCCATGAGTTTCGTGGCTTGAGTTACTTACTTCCTGATTTAAAAGTAGGCCGGGCAGTCTTTATCAAACAATTAATGATCTCGTCACCGATCAAGTCAAAATCCCCCCTATCAAACTCTAAATCTGTAAGCTCCTCCCATTTCCGTGGTGAATGGACAATTGGCCAATTGTCGACGATGCTTTTTGTTTACAAACTTCATGATCACTTTGGCTGCCGGTGCTATGCGCATGGTTAAATACGACCAATTTGTCTCCTACGTGTCTCAATATTCGATCATGGATGTAAGTCCTTCAAGTTCAGTTAAGTTATATTTTTGTTGATGGCAAAGTAGTTTTCTAGCAAATATACTCTCACTCGCCACACTAAGGCAGTCAACGTATTGGCTGTGAGTATACATGGAGCATTGCTCCTTACTGGAGGTAATCAGTCTATCTCTCTCACTTAACTTGTACTAAGAGCAAGATAGGCAATGATAGTTGCATAGTTGTATGGAGCTTGGTATCCAGTGAAATGATTCAAGAAATCTTTACACCGGCAGCAGGTTATATCAGTGCCATTATCTGGATGGACGTTAACAATCATGGTGAAACAACATTTGCTTTCGGGGCTTCAGATGGCAACATTCAAGTATATGAAAGGAGCAATGATGTAAGTGATAGGGATATCGTTATTGCTCTCACTGATGACGGTCGATCACCTCAGGCACTGTTCACATTCCAGAGCACCACCATGGGCCACTCAGATGTGGTGGAGTCGCTTGCTTGGGATCCTGTTCATCGGCGTCTGGCAAGTGCTGCTGGTGGTCGCCCACATCTTTGGAACCTGACACCAGACAGTGGGCTGCCTACCCGTCAGTTATTGCATGGTGTTGATTTTTTTTGGTCAGAAACCCTCGCGACCATCACCTCGCAGCCTGAGAAACAGTTGTACGTTGCCCGCACAGTTCACTTCTACGACAACGGTGCTTCCCTCCTAGTGTCATATCTGGAAAGTGGTGAAATGTCAGCTGCCCATTCCATTCTTGATTTCACTCTAACCCTTATATTCAGATTCTGCTATTCTATCAAACCTTGGGATCTAAAGTGGCACAAGAAGGTGCAAGGAAGAATGTAAGTGGGGGTTTTGTTTCGCGTATCGTGTTATTCACGCATATGCTGCAGTGGCAATGCTGTTCTTGAGGGCAGTTTTCTGCTCATGAGTAATCTCAAAGACAGGGTGGATAAATACACCATTCCTACCCTCCAGCGCGTACAGTCCTATAACCATGTGATCCTTCGCAATGTTCCTCTGCAAATCTCCGTTGCTCGGCAGGCGGGACTTATTTTTGTTGGTGGTGATGATGGATTTGCTTGTGTATTTGATTACAGCACAGGGACATACCGAGGACAGTTGGCACACGGGAATCGGGGTGATCAGATCATCCCCATCACAGTAAGTCAGCCGAACTTGATATATATGTACCATACTCACAATAGCAGTCGCATGAAGGGCGGGCTGGGTGCACTGTTGTTACTGGCAGCTGCTTTAATGGGCATAGTAGCATGAAGGTCTGGGAGGAGGGCAAATCGGTATGATTGAATATCCATTACGGCGGCAATATCTAATCAACTTCAGGTGTCAATGGAGGACAACACAACATCTCCTTCACCTCCTTCAACCTTTGCAGGAACTTCTCCAACAATGCAGCTTGTTCGGTTTGCTATTATCTGCATGCTCGTAAACATTGCCATACACGCCCTCCATTCAGGCACATTGTCAGAACTTTACCTGCTGTTTCATGACAGTGTAGTCGATGGTATCCGGGCCTATTAGTCACATTGCTTGACTTTATTTTATGATATACTATGGGGTCTGAGTACGGCCAATATTGTTTACGATGTTCAACTATCCAATTCAGCTATCCCTCTTCCGAAGTTGCTGTACACTAGTAAATCCGATTTGATCTTGCCCTGCTCTCCCCCTTGTATCTTCAATCGTGATCACGGGTGTAATGCAGTTAGGCTTGATTTTACTTTTCATGCCAAGCGAAATAATTGTTATATACCAGGCACATTTGCATGCAAGTTGCTGTTCGGCGCCGAACACCAGACAACCCATGATTTTTTTCGTAGCAAGTGTATGTCATCCAACAACACTTGTTTGGACTTGGTAGGATAGGAGTTTGGAGTTTGGACTGGTGAGTCGACCCACATGATATCAAAGAGTCTAGACTGATGCACTGTCACCTCATCCAAGATAAACTATTGTTCGCTAGGATAGATAGGAGTTTAGACTCGTGAGCTGACACATATGATATCTTGTTTGGACTTATGCACTGTCACCTCGTCCAGGATAAACTATTGTTCACTAGGATAGATAGGAGTTTGGACTCGTCAGTCGACCGTGATAGTATTGTTTGACTATTTGACTTTATATTTTTCAGCGATACCCTCACAACACATTGCATCCATTTGCTCATTTGATTTTTTAGTTCATTTCAGTCGGTGTGGGAGTAGGCCTATTGTCTAGCTTGTGAGTGGGCAACTCGCAACTTGCAATAAATATGTTGCATAATTCCGTGTCATTCCCCATCATCCTCTAGCCATGGTTGCCACACAGGCTCTCAGATCTGTTTCACCTGTACGCGTCGTTTCATATGCGAAAACTGAATCATTGTTAGCCCCTGTAATTTCAAAATCGAAGGCCATTGATGATTCTCTCGAAAACTTCATACTGCCATGTGAGAAGAAGTGCAGATTCCCTGCAGCACGTTCGAAATGTAAAGCAGATGAAGAAATCCCACATGGCTCCCTCCCTCCCAGTCCCAAGAAGCATTCCCTCTCCTGTTCATATGCGATTGCTGACCTTACAGTGAGTCTAACCTTTCCCTAGTCTTCATGCCTCATGCTCCTCAATTATAGACTGCGGATCTGCCGCATAAAATTCCTCAAGGGCATTCGAAACGCAAAGAATATGGAGACACGCCAGATGGTTCCTTCCCTCCCAGTTACAAGAGGCGTACCCTCTCCCGTTCATATGCGATTGCTGACCTTACAGTGAGTTTAACCTTTCCCTAGTCTTCATGCCTCATGCTCCTCAATTATAGACTGCGGATCTGCCGCATAAAATTCCTCAAGAGCATTCAAAACGCAAAGCATATGGAGACATGCTAGATGGTTCCTTCCCTCCCAGTTTCAAAAGGCATACCCTCTCCCGTTCATATGTGATTGCCGATCTCACTGTGAGTTTAATCATTCACCAGTCTTCCATGCCATGCCTCATTCGTTTTCAGGCTCACTCAGCAACTGAAGAGCGCAGCGTAGATCCCGTCCTTTTTTTGCACGTAAGTCAATCCTGAATCTTGAGGTGTTTTTAAACAAAATACCTGTCTTTTGCAGGGGATGCCGTCGCCTGTAGCTTTGACTGGACGAACCACTTTTTCGTATTGGCCCTTTCCAAACGAGCTTGTATTGATGATCTTCCAACATCTGCCTGTGACAGACCTGCGGTCAATCACACACGTGTCCTGCCTCTCAAAGGACCTTGCCGCACCCCTATATCTGCATTCTGCAGGCTTACATGTCGAGCAGACATGGTTGCGCGTCAACGCTCAGACCTGCCTAGCTCTTCCATTGTACACTTGAACAACTTCTTTCTGCGCTCCTCGGTTTCTGCATTGTGACCTCCATGGTACTGGTGACCATGACCTGACAGCACTCAAGATATTCTTACAGTCCTTGAAAGGTGTTCAGAGTAAACCTATGTCATCGATTATGTGCTTCGACGCCCCCCCAGGAGTAGATCTGGCATCTTTATTCCAGCTCATCAAGGATTTAGATTGCTCCAGTTTCAGTTAGTCAAGCAGTGATGCAGACCACCCATGTACGGTTGTACCTGCTCCTGTCTCTGGATCAGACCCAAGCGCAGTATCTAGTCTTCGGCGATTGTCGGTGGACTTGCCCATGTTTTTCTCCCCATGCGTCGCCTCACTCACCCTCGCAACCTTGCAGGACTCCCCATTAACCGACCTCTCACTCACTTACACTGGATTGAGCAGCATTCAGTGGGCTGCATTGCTGCGGAACGTCCACCTCCCGCTGCTTCAAATGTTGACAGTTGACATTGAGTGCCCCCCCAACGTTCTCGCTGAATTTTTGATCCGCCATCAGAATGTTGGCCAATTGTGGATTCATCTGGGGTCGACTCTTTCGCCGAAACTACCAAATCATGCCTTACAGAAGGTATCAAGACAGACATTGCAGCACATCCCCAATTCCCATCTACTACACCTGAATGTTCTTGGCGGCCCGCCTTGCTATCTTGTTTCCCTGCTAGCCATAATTCATTCAGCCCCTTGTATTCGAAACCTCAGCCTTCAGTTTGGGGAAAATTTGACTTCTAACCACTTGTCGGCCGTTCTAGACGTTACTCAACATTTCACGAGTATCCAGGCACTGCAGTTGAGCTTTTTCGACGCTTCCCATACTGCCAGCCACTTTAATGTCCCGTACGATGGCCGCACTGTACCTTCGAAACACCTAACAATTTCTGTGTGTGGCCCTTATCCAGACGCTCTCCTCGTGAGTTCCCTTTAATGTACATATATTAGCACTCATCCTCATGTAGTTCCGCTGCCATCCTTGGCTCGACGCCTTCCATGAGCTGGAAAGCGTTGAACTTCAGGCCAAATGCACGAGTTCATTCGAGAAGCTTGCAGAGCTCTTTTCTCGTACGGACAATCCTTTTCAGCTGAAAATTAGCAGTGACTGGTAATTCATACATCTACAATATTAAAGCACAACTTACCAGCAGCTCAGTGCCTATTCCATCCATATATGTTATCATATCACATATACTATATACCCTCTGTCAATCATATATTTTGGTCAGAATCCCAAATGTCTACATTGATTCTACATTTACAGCTATTTCCAAATCGATAGACCAGATTCCATTTGCACGACTCACTGCTTTTGTTTACTTTCAGAGTGGTTAGTCAGATCACAGCTTCGGGATTAAACATTATCACATCCACCACTGCCAACAGACTCGACGCATACCTGAGTCTGTCAAACAACAATGGGCAACGATGTCTGCACATGACATCGAGAGCCTGAGACACAATCATTGACCATCATTCAAGTTTGCAAATTTCAAATGTTCACCACAATTGATGGACGGGGTGAAAGCTGCAAAGTACGCTCCTCACAAAGTTTATTTTATAAACCTACTAAGGTATCCCCAGGAGATGTAAAATCACAGACAAATCTGTTCCAAATGCTCTTGCCCAGCTCCCAGAGTTCGCTGAGGACTCAAAAATGTACCAAAGCTTGACTGGATGATGAACCAGAAAAAGGTGGAAGTGCAAGACGTATTGGCACGCAATCCGACCGTACGTTTCACATTCCTACAATTGATGATTGGTCTATTAAACAGATGATGATCAGACTACGTGTACACTTCGGTTATTCTTGAGCTACACAGTTTCTGGGCAGGCGTGGCAAACTGGCAAAGCTGCTGAGGGAGTAAACTTCAAGACGGGGCAGTGAATTCCAGCATGGTCCCTGAAGGTCGAAGGGCGATTACTAGAGGCACGTCTATTTCAGCGAGCATCAATGCATTGCTTTGACGCCTATGAAGCTTCCAAATCAATGTGCATGAGACAGGGTTCTGCCTCGGAAATTCTCGACTCTCATAAAATGAATGATTGTCGAGCTTGACCATGACCCTACCTTGTATCCAGATGGGAACATTGTCTAGTTCTTACTTGTCTTTTCAGTGGCCTCGAGTTCCAGCCATTCAGTCGCCTCTAGATGGGTTCATCATAAGGTGAACTGGAGACCAGCCAATGAAAGTGCGTTTCATCATATATCTCGAGCAGACACCAGAGCGGTATAAAGTGGCTCCAGACTTGGGTATGTCTTGTGTATCTTCATGAATTCTAAACTTGATGCCACCTTTCAGGTAACGTCTTGGGCATCAAAGAGGAGAGTCGTGTTGGCATCATCCAGGCTATGTGGAATTATATCAAAATACACGGCCTGCAAGATAAAACTGATTGTTGAAGAATACATGCTGACGATTATTTGAGACCGGTAAGTTGATTCTGTTGACTCTTCACTATCATACCAATTGTATGATTGCAGATCTGTGGCGGAGAAGGCATCATGTTCCACCAACAACCAGAGCCAGTCAATCGATATTTGATGCCTCCAGGACCTGTAATCATTCATTACTCCATCAACCCAGCACGGATACCCCCAGAGCACCATTCTGCATGGGATATTGAGATCAAGATGGAGGACACCAACTTGAAGAACCCCATCATGGTGATGATGCAGTCAAGTAAAGATAGCATGTCCGACCTCACCAAGTTAGATGACGAGGTAAATGTCCACTCCCTCAGGTCTGACTCCCTTTCTCTAATATCGGTGAAATGCAGATCACGCTGTTAGCACAATCACTACATAACTCACACATGAAGCAGCAATTCCTTCAAAGTTTTGCCAACGACCCAGCGAATTTCATACAGACGTGGCTGGCGTCGCAGTCTCGCGACTTGGAAAGTGTGCTTGGAAGTGGACTGAGTGAGGGTGCTACTATCCATGCTGAGGAGTTGCATAGGAGTGATTTCTTCAGGCTACCCTGGGTTGAGGAAGCCGTCGCTGTCTACGAGGGTATGTAGAGTTTCCAATTCCATGCTATGCGCGGCAGCGTTGTGCAGTGCGCACCTTATTTTTTTTGACTCCAAAGTCAGACTACTCGAAATGAATACACAATAAAGAGTACAATGGAGTGCCGTCCCGTTGCAAGGGTATTACGAAGGCACATTTCTTTCATTCTTACCGTCATGGCCAGTAAGCAGGCAAGTACTTTTGTTAATTACTTTTGACCTTTTTATGAACGTGTTATTCATGTTATAGCTCGGGAAATTGAGGCAGGTTAGTCACCGAGAGATGAGGTTGTGCTGTGTTGTGTCCAAATGGTAAGTGGTGGTATCACCTCATGCTCTCCGTAATAACCATTTACACTTGTTGTATTCTTAGGCAGCTTGGCTACTGGACAGGGGACCCGGTACGCACTACATAACTCTCGTTAGTGTTCATTGTCTTGATTTTTGCACCAAGCTTTGTCCTGGTGGCAACTGAGCATCTTCATCAGCAGATAGCCAGCATGAGTGGATGTATTCGGCAATTAGAAGACGCTCTTGGATCCCTTCAGTCACAGCATTCGACAGAACCCCATCCTCTTCTTCGCGACGACCTTCATGGTGTGGATCAAAAGGACGAATATGGCATTGTTGCTGGAGATAGCACTGCAGAACTGTTGAATCCTCCAGAGATCCTGGACGCATTTGGAACGCTTTCCATCACTGATCATGGCATATCATGGTTTTTCGGCCCCACAGGCGGATCTGAAGTGAGTGTTCTATCCTTTACTCAGTGAAAGACATACTTATCGCCCCCGGTAGTGCTTGTTGATGGTGCGTATCTTACTTCATGTTGGGCTATGCTCATGCAGACTTCCTATTAGGCGGATAAAGTTCCACCAGAGACTGCAGATGCATCTAGTCTAGAATCCGGAAGAGACTCAAGGAGCCCTGGATTACCGCAAGAATTTAGGATGTTTTCGCAGGCGTTCCCTTTCACCCCCATGGGTCCGGTAGCAGCTGTTCAGGAATTGATAGAAAGTCATCTGCCACCTTTGGAATGGGCCAAGTACCTTGCGCAGACTTATCTCAAACAAGCTGGCTGGCTGTTTTGCAGTGTGTCTCAGGATCAAGTGATGGAAGAGTTACTTCCGATATATTACTCAAATGGCCCTGTGCCACCATCAGACGAAACCAAAGGAGCTCATGACCTTGGTCTTCCTTTACTTGTTTTTGCCGTTGGAGCTCTCATGGACCTTGTGCAGGAACCGTCCAATGCTGAGGCTGAACACTATCATCAACTTGCCCATGCTGCCATCTGTTTGTGGCCGGTCTTGGAAAAGCCCTCCCTAATTACTATTCAGGCGCTTCATCTGTTGAGTATCTACAATGCTATGAGTGGCAATGAACTTGCGGCCAAAGAGACCAGCATGGAAACGACATGGTCATTGCTTATCCTTGCTGCTCATCTTTCCCAAACCATGCGTAGTCTTTCCATTCATGTGATTCTCACTTAAATGAGAGCTTGATCTAGATTGGTCTTCATACATTTATACATTTCTGTCAAGGAACAATCTAATCTCACTCGGCTTCTGCACCCAAGATTGGGATAGTGCAAAGTGGGGTCTTCCTGCCAAAGTCGTGCAAAAACGGCGCATTCTCTTTTGGGATCTCTTTGTTGCTGATGCCTGGAATGTAAATGCAGCTTGGCTTCTCTTCCTTACATTGGTTTCATTGACATTCCCAAACATAGAGCTTAAACACCAGATGCCCACCGAGTTTTTCCTTAGCTTAGATAGACTGCCGTTTCCCAGACAGCGGGGGTGACGGAGAACTTGGCCATCAAGCAGAATGTGAGTCTTCAAGTTTGTTTGCTCGTCTTTACCCAATGAACCTTTTCAGTATAGTCGCATTATGGGGAATCAGGTATGCGGCCGAGTGTGTCGCAGAGGTCGCCACTCGTACCTTGACAGCTGAAGCACCGAGTTATGCGGTAATCATGGAAATTGATCGTAAATTTCGCAAGTTTCCGATCCCGGATCCTGCAGCTCTAATCGCCTCTTCGGCGTCCAGTACCTCGCCACCACCAATTTCTGAGGAACCATCTTGTGATGTCTCACTCTCGGGAAACTTGTTATTAGACTGCCCTTGTACACCGACTGGCTATTGTGTGACTAACCTGTTGCTTAGTACTACTTTACATTCATCGCAGTTTCTTTGCGCAGGCTATCATTGAAAACCCTGTGAATCCGTAAAAGAGTGCCTACGTGCCATCATTTTTGGCTGCTTACCGGGCGACTCAGACGATACTGCGAACCGTCCAACAAGCTTTTCAGGAATATCCTAGTCTCTGTGCTTGCTTTTGGACTGTCTGGACCTTTGCATTTTCTTCTGCCGTAGGCATTTTTTGGTCTCAATGTCGATCACGACTGATAGTCCAACAGATCGTCTTTGGGACAATTGTCACTCGAGGCCCACGGTCTCCACTGGCGTCTAATGCTATGAAGGAATTGGATGATGCCTGCCTTCTTTTCTCAAGGGCAGCTGCACATAGCAGATGTGCTGCTCAAGCCTTGGTCAGTGCTTATTGCCATCACGCTTGTTACACTATGTAATGGATCGGTTGTCGCAGCCAATGCTTACGAAACTGAGTGAGAACGCGCACATACCCCTCACTGCTGCTCAGCATGAACAGCCATCACAACAGCTTGGTCAGCAATGGAGCGTGAAAGTAGAGCAAGATGATGATGAACTCGACATCTTTGCTGGAAGAACTAGATTCATGTCGGCGAAGCGACCTTCAGGTCTACCTGCAGACTACCCGGAGGCTTCTTCTAGCAGCAGCACATATCTAGAAGCTAGTTCCACTGAGCAGCAAACTGCCAAATTATATCGCCCGAAATCTTCAACTGACTGGACTCAGTCAGCTTCGAACCGTGGTGGTCGTTATGATATGCATCACTCTGATGATCTCCCTGCACCTAGTGCAAGCACCAGCATTCCAACCCACCTATGGCGACAGCCCCAGAGTTCTGATTATACATATCCTCCCCAGCATCATGTCTCCCATTCAGCTGCATTGCATGTACACCAAGCGCACCATGCTCCTGCACCTGTTGTGGGGTCATCCACCTATCACTGGGCCCCAGCAAGCGAATCCTCGCAGCAATATAGTCAGACTCCACTTACAGCTCCGCCCCCCCAGGCGCACGCTTTTCACCAATACAGTTCGTCTTCTGTGGCCTCATACCATGGCCAACATAGTCGGCCACTACCTTCGGAACTCGCTGGACTCGGCTTGGTATCACAGGATTCAAGACTTGATGAATGTCGGACGTCCTTTATGCGGGAATCAGGTTATTTTGATGGGGTTGGGTACAGAACGCAGTGACAAACTGTTCTCGGGTGACTACTTTTTCTATTCATATGTCATTATACATTTTTTATCACTTTTCTTGCTTATTCGATCATCGTTGTCACCTCTCCATCTTTCTCGACAAGCTCGGCCCTCAAAACAGAAAACACATAAAATGTGTTGAGCTGTACGTACAAAAGTCAGACCATGGACGATTCAGGAAGACAGGGAAGACCTAGTAAGAGTTCCTTCTATGCCCACTAGCTGGAAATTGATAGTTGCTATGCGCACAGTGACTGTCATAACTCACAAGCTCATTGTCTGCTTGACAGTTTTGATTGAATGCCTTGTGGTACTCGGCGCATTCTTACTGTGATCGATGTTGTTACACGGCCTGATCATGCAGCACCTCAAGGCCGGGCTGCCAATGGAGACCAGGAGATTTGACTACTGGGCAGCAATGAAGCAGTGGAGCACAGCAGCCGATAGCCTCGGGCATACTCCACTGCGCGAAAGTACACGCTCCCACAAGGCCACTTCATTGATCTGAAGTGCTGCGGTTGACGCAAGTCATGAAGGATAAATTAATTCACGGCGGCTCAATCCTAATAAAGTCTCTAACGTTTGAGTTTGCTAACAAAATTAATGACCGACCTGGTGTTTCATAACATATCGGTGATGCTGGTCCACGATTCGTTCCGATGGTGACAGGTCATCGTAGCTCGAACATAACTGCTTCCATGCGGCTATGTACAGTGGCTCAAAAAACTGTCCACATGTTTGTGCTATTTTCACTATTTACATTATTGTATATGAATGAACAGGTAGACTGGGGATATGCCAGTGGGGTACTCTGTAGTACTCCTTTGGGGCATGAATTTGAGCCCTTGCCCGTGGGAATTTATGGTAATGTGGTGGCACTATAAGCCTCACAAAATGATGACTCATGTGGACAGTTTTTTGACCCTAGATTAAAATTATATAAATCATTAGTTATGACACCATAAAGTCATGCCACTATTAAATAAATTATGAAGTGGTGTCATTATGACATTATTAAACCTATCTCTAAGTATATAATGAAGTGTGTCCCATATATCATAGTCATAATCACCATGAAAACCATCTCCTCTGCTCAAAGGGATAATATCCTTTCTCTGTCTACTACTGGCCTCTCTACTCGTCAAATAGCCTCTAGAACTGGTTTATGTAAGTCTACTGTAGCTAACCTCATCAAAGAATGTCACCCAGACAAGGAAAACTCCAGTGGAGGTCGTCCATCCAAACTCACCTCTACTGATAGGAGGGTTATTATTTAACATATCACCACAGGAAAGGCTGATAATGGAGGATATCCATATACTGCTCAGCATCCATCCTCCCCTCAACTTCTGCAAGCATTCTCACACCAGAAGTTCCACACCATACATCCCCATACCATTAAAGAACCTCCTCCAAACTTGAGAGTTCCATTAATCTCTCTGTCTGTAAGAGGGCCCCCCCTTCTTTTTCCACACATGTACCTTCCCATCTGACCCAATTCTATTGATTTTAGTCTCATCTGACCATATGACCTGCTTCCAGTCCTCTACAGTCCAGTTTTGATGAGCTAGGGCAAAGGCTAGTCTTCTCTTCCTATGAGTGATGGAAAGAAGAGGCTTTTTCTTCTTTGTTACGACCCTAAGATTGGCTTCCTTGAGGACATTCCTCACTGTTTGTGAAGAAACTGGAGTAGGAATGATGGAATTGATATGATGAGTGACTTGGACGGCATTATCAGCCTTTCCTGTGGTGATATGTTAAATAATAACCCTCCTATCAGTAGAGGTGAGTTTGGATGGACGACCTCCACTGGAGTTTTCCTTGTCTGGGTGACATTCTTTGATGAGGTTAGCTACAGTAGACTTACATAAACCAGTTCTAGAGGCTATTTGACGAGTAGAGAGGCCAGTAGTAGACAGAGAAAGGATATTATCCCTTTGAGCAGAGGAGATGGTTTTCATGGTGATTATGACTATGATATATGGGACACACTTCATTATATACTTAGAGATAGGTTTAATAATGTCATAATGACACCACTTCATAATTTATTTAATAGTGGCATGACTTTATGGTGTCATAACTAATGATTTATATAATTTTAATCTAGGGTCAAAAAACTGTCCACATGAGTCATCATTTTGTGAGGCTTATAGTGCCACCACATTACCATAAATTCCCACGGGCAAGGGCTCAAATTCATGCCCCAAAGGAGTACTACAGAGTACCCCACTGGCATATCCCAAGTCTACCTGTTCATTCATATACAATAATGAAAATAGTGAAAATAGCACAAACATGTGGACAGTTTTTTGAGCCACTGTAAGCGAGAAAGGACACTAGGATACAAGATGTAAGATCTGAGCCTTACTTGTTACTTCAGGGACGATGCAGTATCATCGTGAAGATCACAGCCTCTGGATCATTTTGGTCACCTGACAGCGAGACAACACCTACTTCCCTTGAGCCATCGAAACACCTAAGCACCTGAGCTTGAACGAGCATAGATGACCAAATTTAACACTAATTTTCAAGGTGAAAGTCAATGTGGCTAGAGGAGCTGTCATGTAAATCAGTCATGCAAGCAACAGTTTCTTGATCATACCAGTGGGAGGAGCATGGTACAGGATTAATATCAGTTCTAAAGCGGATTGTTACATGATCACCTGATCCACCATTGCTCGTCGTATCCCACTAGACAGGACCAGTGTAGTTGTAGGTGTTACTACCAGTGCTTCTTACAACAGAAAATATGTGCTGTGCGATACATCAGCTAGAGTGCGAAATGGATATAACAAGTGATACTCACTTGCGAGGATGGTGCACGAGAACATAAGGTGAAGAAGAGTGACATTGTTCATCGGTCCCTCGTGTTGTCCGCCGGGTATAGACAGCTCAATGATTTTGTTAGCAAGCAAGGTGTAAACAGACCCATTGGATTGCAGCTGAGAAGCCTCCAGAGGTCCGTTTAAAGTTTATATTGAAACCGAAGTAGACAGCGAGATCTGGCTGTAGCCATTGATGAGGTGTCTCACATCATCCCATACACTGACCAGATTTATCGACAGTTTGCGCCACCAGACTGCAGGGTTTTCTAGCGGATACAAGTTCTATTCCAACAACTTGAAAGGATTGCGTGTAGTCCAATGTCTGTCGATGGGTTCCAGTGCCGGGGCCTCATTATATCCAAGCATCGCAGAGTTAGTTGAATCATAATTGGACATGACTTGTTGTTGACTGACTGATCTGCAACCAGGATAAAAGAGTACTGGTGACTGGGAAAGATCGAGTCTACGACCGGAGGCATTGATATCTGCCTCAACAACTGTAAACATGTGGTTGTTAATCGTGAACACGAAGTTTGATTTGCATACCATATTCATTGACCATGCGCGACACTCAGGACTTAAAGAGGTACCAGTGGTCCATTTAGATTACGTCCGGGGTCATTAATGAGAATCACATCAGGAGTAGCGGATAAGGCGATGTTGTAGGCGTTCATGTGGCACCTTTGACTAGATGGTTGAGTTAAAGTAGTAGAAACGCTGATCATCCTAACAATCCGTGATAGTAAGGATGGTCGATGCTAGATTGTCGTCGACACATGCAAACAACATACATGGTCAAGCTTAAGACCGTTATCAATGTCATACATGCACAGGTAGGGATCTGGTCATAAATGACCGAGGGTTCTCTCAAACCTTCGCCTGCATCAACAATGAAACCACTGTACCAACAGTACTAGAGCACGACATGTGAATGATACCTGATATATGATAGACCAGTAATAATAATTTGCAGACACAACATGATTTTGCACCAAAATGACCTGCTCTGGTTTACTGGTGTAAAGCCCTACATGAAAAAAATGCCCAGATGGGCTATAGGACACCATATGACCGTGGCTGCTCCATCCAATGACCAATACTGATTAGTTCCATGCCAGTGCTGGAGCAAGGTCAGCAGTGCCGTTCCAGAATAAAGAAGATACGAACAACAGATGCACTCTTGTTCATGGATACCACTGCCAATTCATCCGTGATGTTCACTTGGATCAATCGCTCTTAATGAAGTAGACCCTCCTGATAGGGATCTATAGGGATAGTCCACATAATCGGATCACTACCTTGGTTGCAGTGAGGACTGGTCCAGCGGTTTGACCATCGAACCATATCACTAGAAAATCTATTAGGCACATGAGATTCCAGCCAGCTTGTATCAAACAATCAACCAATACTTCCTTTAAAACCGCCCGAGGCGATTTAGGTGTTTGAGATGACTGGCTCCGTATTGAGTGCCGAACAAGACGGCCCAAAGGCCAGACACCAGGTAGATGGAAAGCGAAATTCACAATCATATCACTGCCAAGAGTTGTCTGGTAGGTGACAGAGTTGTTAGTATCCTTGCCTTAGTACTTACGTGTTTCTCGATACTAAATAACTCTGGAAAAAAGGTTGTGAAGATGGACGCAATCAGTCACTTGACTGGAAGAAGTTCATGCTACAATATGAACTCGAGTCAATGTGAAGTTTGAACTTCCTTCAATTGATCACGGAGCACTCAATCACAAAACTAGGACAAACATTCTCCTGGCTCCAGATCCACTAGCCAAACTGTGGAGAGAGAGGATCCACACCTTTGGTTCCTTGATCACTTGAGGTTGACTCATGGCTGTCCAACTCCAGTTATTGAAAACCACCCCGAAAAGCCAAGGCAGACAAACCGCAGCCTGACCTCTCCAACAAGGGGCTGAACTGGATGGAGAAATCATAAATGAAATAGCCCTGGGACCTCAAATTTGACTGATTGTATGGTGTCACCGGTATATCCCAGACTATTACGTAGTAAGCTACCGTCATTGTGTGAACCCCGCTGTCACCGAGTTGATTCGACGGCTATGGTTTTGCGTTTTGTGTTAGATCAACTTTCGTCAACTTGGACCCTCTTGGATGATGTAGATCAGGATCATTGTTGGCTCTGTTGTCCTTGGAAGAAGTTGCTGGGTGCGTCATCTCACCTACATGGGACAATAGAGAAAACATAGATGGAGTCCAATGTGATGTTGCAAATCATAACATGCGTCATACACCAACAGTCCCAAAGAGCTTACTTTTATAGTTCATAAATGCAGGCCTGCCACGAAACAGCATGTATGCGAACATATCAATAGCAGGGTAACAATATTGAAGATGCTGGCAGAATCCGGGCATGTCTAAACAAGGCCTGAGCAAACGAGGTCATGAAGTAAAATAGTAGTGCAAGGAAATGAGAGTCCAAGATAATCATATGTAGTCATACAGAAAAGCATGCACTCCGTGAAGCGAGGGACGTCGACGAGCAGCAGGTAGTAGGAGGCGTCACAATAGCAGACGCATAACTTGATACTACAAAACATACAAAGGCAAGTATTGACGTATTGACGACATTACGGTCTCTTCACCGGGACAGTCTTCCGATTCGAACGATGAGGAAACTGGAAGAGGTAAGATGCTGACTGGACTCAATGACGAGGCTTGAGCAACCGGAAGGGGCTCATCAGCAGCTTCATGATATATCCATTTCACGAGGACCCTCCTCGATATCCTTGTGATGAATGCCACTCTCGCAACTTTCTTCAACTGCCTGAAGAAATTTGAGGTGCCACTCCTGAACGAGATACTTGAGTTGGCCAAAGTAAGCCATTGTACAGTTCATCAACTCCTCGTCGCGCTTTACGAGTAATAGCCCCGACTTGTACGAAACAGCCCTGGAGCCTATGTCCTCCAATAGATCGGCCCACTGTTCTGTCTTCGGGTATATTATCTTACCATGCAGCCCGTCATATGTAGTCACAAATTCGACAAAAATGTAGAAAAGAGACTCGAGATCATCGCTGGCAGTCTGTCCCATCATGACAAGATCCTTATCTGTCAGTTTAGATGCTGAATGGAGATAACGGAGAAGGCAGATAGACATGTACGGCGAGGTGCCCTTCGAACATTGGGATCAGCCACTTATACCAGATTAACCTTCGAACTTGAACTTATGGTACCCCATGCACGAACACTAATATTGCATTGCACGATGATCTGGGCGTGGTCAAAATCGATGAAGAAGCCACATCCTTTATAGATGATCAAGTTGTTGGGACTAAGGTCTCTGTGTAGGACTTTCCTCTCGGTCATTGCCTTGTGCGCTAAAAAAAATCAATGTAAAGATTAAGCTTAATTCGAACAGTCAAAGAAGAAACCCACTGACTACGAGGTCTCGAAAAGCGCTTATTAGCTCTCGTTTAGTTGAAAATGTCGACAGCGGCTCTCCACAAGGGGTCAAAAGCATGCGTTGGTGATATTTACAGCGAAATTCAGGACTGAATTTCCTGTGGCGGTTATGGATGCGCAATGTAGAGTCGGGCTCTCCCTCGTACTCAACATCCCAAGTGGCAATGAGAGTAACTACATTAGGAATGCCCCGGACCATCTCAAGAACCTTTTCTTCATGATCTTTCTTTGCCTCATCCACCCAACAATCCTTTAGTGCATATTCAACGCCATCCTTATCCCAAACGTGATAGCAAATAGTCCCGTGAGAGAAAAGACCCTGGCTTCTCCACAAAATAGCGATGATCAATAATTTCTGCTTCTCCTTGTCCTCTATCCAGCCGATCGCCTGGTCCCCCACTTCGCATTGTGTTTGCTTGCAGGACTTGTTGCACATGTGTATGGTGGGATCCATGCCATGGGATTTATTGTTCCCCAGTGACATGGTGTTTAACATGTCGACAAGACGCATTGGGTTTGCGGTGATTAGGATGGGACGTGTGATGATCAGGCCTGAGTGGTCCATGTAATGGGCGCGAAGATGGTTTGCTGCCAGACTAAATAGCATGATGAACCGACGCCAGGGCTGTTCTCGCATCATGAGATAACCTTTGGTGATAACCCCCTTGAACAACGGTATGTCATGGTTTGTGCCAAGATCAGATTCAGTGATCTCAATGCATGTGAGGACGTGTGCCCAGCTTTTCGGTTGAACGTCACGATCAAGAAGGACTACATCAGGCTTCTGGATGTTGGTCACGTCTGGAATGGGAGCATTGCAAAACTCCGGTGACCATTGCTGATGCGGGCGTTTGTGATCTGCAGGTTCAAAAGGGTACATGGGCGAGTGATGAGGGAACATTGCCCTATATGTCATGCGCATGGCCGTATAGACAGTATTGAAGAGACACACCCATTTTTGCTCTGGTGTCTGCTTCGGGGTCGGCTTTCTGTTTGGTTGGTTAGGGTCATATTCTTGAGAGTCCCAGCCCTGATCACTGGCGTCAGGCGCGGCTGACGCGGAGGAACCTTCCTGCCCTGACACAGAGGAACCTTCACAATCTGTCCCCAACTCCTCTGTATCTGAATCAGTGTCGTCCGGCGCCTGCTTCTGTTTCTGTTTCAGCATCTGCTTGTTCTGATGTTTATCGAGTTGCCACTTGTGATCGACGAATATCAGCACTCCAGTCGCGTAAGTAATGTTCTCAATAACTGGTCTGCGGATACTCGATTTTGGGATGATGTGATCCATGAGAGAAGAAGTGGTGGCGGGGAGATCAGTTTCTTCCCACAGGACGTTACCTACAAGATCGTTTTGCAAGAGATTATCCATGCATGGCTGGAGGCGACATGTAGGAAATGCGCTGGACGAGCTGACAGTTGGCAAGATCCCAGATGTGGAGGTGCTCATCATGGTGATACCACATAAGAGGCTCGTCCCCTTCTTGTGTTGGGAGAGGGGAAAGAAAAAGAAAAAGTGAGCGAGATTTAGCACCATAAGTAGTGAATCGGACTGAGTCACTGATGCTCCAGAAATCACTGGGGTGTTCCAGAACTCGCTAGGCACTCAGCAGCAAGCAAATACAAGAACAAATACCACTGTTTAGTCCATTACATTGCGGCAGCGCCCGCTACCTCAGTTCTAAGTTATTGCTTAGACAACAAATGATGTTTAAAGTTAGCAAATGATGCAGGAAAGAGGGGGACTAGAAAATTGGTAATTGACGTAGTTATGCACATTCTGATCTATGACAATATGGGAAGCCGGTAGCCTGTGTTTGAATCGCGTCAACGACAATAGCCGTCAAGCAAACGAGGGCACACAATAACCATGGTGTAACCTTCAGGGATAGGGAAAGTGCTTTGACCTTAAGATAAGTATAAGGATGTGGTGGAATCAAAGCACAGAAACTTGCCTGCTGTATCCTATATGAAAAACGATATCAAGTCGATCCGACAAGGTATGTGAGGCTTGGCGGGAGTGTTCGATGTTTCAATTCGGTCTGTATGACGATTTAACTTTCTTTAATGCACGAAACAAAACGACCTATACAACGGCGTACGCGGGGTATGCGCTAGACTTCAGTCTTTTGCAAGACTCACGTAACATTTTGAAATGTGATTGGAGATCAGAACCACCACCATAAGTTTACAAAACTACTACGCATCCAAACTGAAATTTAAGATATAAATCTATGAGTCTACAATTCTACAGTCTGCATAAGTAAAAAGATTAACATAATGATTGTAAACGACTGTGATAGGAGGAAAGAAAGCAATGAAACAGGGATTTGCTGCCTAAGTAGTGAATTTGAGTCAGTCGAAACTCCGACGGAACTTGCTGGTAGCCGCTCAACCACTCAGCCACTCAGCCACTCAGCCACTTCAGGTACTTCCGGCGGAGTCTGATTCTCCCATTCACTACTTAGGACTCAAAACCTTATTTCACAGACTTTCTTTTTCTATCATGTAGACTTAATGTAGTAGTAGTATCATAGTATCGTAGTATCGTAGTATCGTATACTTTACACTTTGTGTGGCATCAATCTCAATGTTATTGTAGTCTTTGAAAACAACAAGGTCATTGTTATGTATTAACCCCCAATTGTGACTACCGATTAGACGATTCAGTGTTCACGGTGCATTCTTATTAGGACTTGTTCCCCTTGGCCTATTGTTATCTAATCTTATTCGAACTTGTTTTGTTTCATTTAGTTGTCAGGCAGACGAAGCAAGCGGATGCCATATAATTGCGGACTTCATTGCGAGTATATCATGATGCTACATCGTGTGAGACCGACCGACCTATTTCTCTACCTGTGGTTATGGCTCAACATGGAGACAACTTTATCCTGCGTGACAATTCAGAGATCAATCCAAGTCCCCAAAACCTTGCCACAGCACTCGTTGTAATCGGGCGGACCGCCCGCAAGTACATGACTGAGCTGGACGCACATACTAGCACTGACTTTGAGGTTGCAATCTTTTCTAGTTTTATCACTCGCGGGACTCCCATTTCGCAAGGCCCAACTGTGCCAGAACATCGTGCTAATTTAGAGAACAGGCTTAATACTTCATTGGCATACAGGCCATACAGGCCATACACCTCTTTCACTCCACGTGAACGACATTCCAGCCACTCTCCGCACCGTGTGTCCAAGTCTACCCCTCAATCCCACCCATTAAATATCGCCTCCCTCCAATCCACTACACTCACCGGCTCTTCATGTGGCCCCACCAAGTCTTTGTCCCCGCCTCCTGCTACCATTTCATTCACGTCCCCTGGCCCTTCATCCATCCCAATAGCATCTCTAGATATCTCTGCTGCACTCGTTCATCCATCTTCTCCGACAACTGCCCAGATAACCATCACCGACGCTCAACAAAACAATACTCCCATGCGCAATACTCCTATAAACGGTGAGCCACCTTCCCATGCCAATCGTGAAATTCCAATGGATCAAGATGTGCCAGCAGCCACTCCACTCCCGCTCATCAGCCCTATAACCCATTTGGAACCAGCGTCCGATATTCCTACAAGTTCTGGACGACACAGAGCACTGCCCTTGCCGCTCATCACAGAAAATTATCTGGGACAGTTGGTAAATCAGCAAGTTGCTCAACTGTCCGACAAGGTAGTTGTGCCTGCTCTCAGGTGTGCAGTTGACGCTATGATACCAACAATTATTGAACAGATAACTGGTGAAATTAGGAGCATCCACTCTACCTGCTCTCACACCACTCCACCTGCTCTCACACGCGCCTGGAAACATCGTGGGTCATCTGAAGATGACGATGCTAGCCAGCCTGATTGTGACGACAATCTAACACCTTCTCCTCACAGGAAGCACCCGGGGAAGCGGGGCATCAAGAATCAATTACATGTACGTCTGGGGTGTTCCAAGTGAATAGGGGCTGACCAATATCAATCCTAGCGCTCATTTCGGATATATCTACGGGAGAAACATCTTCTACGATCCAAGACTGGTCCCTTGCCACAATCACCTCTGTCACAAATGGTTCACGCTTTTACTCATTACAATGAAAGCTCACCAAGTTTGGGCAACATCACCATCGACTGGCAAGACTCTTTGAGATCCTCTCTATGGAATACAGAGGTGATCAACTTGATGGTGGTGGACTTTCAAGAAAAAATTCAGACAGGTAGTTATCCATCGGTAATTTTCAATGAAGATACAATGAACCTCGGCGACTTGCGCCTACTCTGCATCGACAAACTTCGTCGAACTCAGCAAGCCTATCGACAGCGCAGCAAGATAGAAGAATTTAGAGACATTCAAGAGAGGGAGGAAGCTACTCGTGAACTGTCTTCTCATAGCACTCGGAGGCAATGTCTGGATAGGCTTAACACTTGCAAGCATGGGGTAAGTGGGTATTGCTATTTCCCTCATTTTGTGCCTCATGTGCTTCCAGACGCTCGAAAGATGTCAAAAAATCGCCGAACAAAATCACCACCGCAATCCTCAAACCTGGGACACAATCAAGCGCATCATTGACCGGTTGGATGTTGATGGCATGAGCGGGGATGAAACAGACACTGCTATAGGTGCGAAACCAAAGATCGTGAGGCGTGTGACTCTCCCGTGGATCAGCCCAGCAATCACTGATCTACTTCATGCAGTTGAGTCCTACGCACCTGCAACATATGAGGAAAATATGTCAGTTCCAGTTGGTAATACCTCGCTCCCCCGCTCCATGGAGGCGAAACGCACCTCTAACAATTCTATTGCAATCGCATGGCTCCCTCGTAATTGGTATAATGACATTTGGTACAAAGCCAATTCAAGCGGTGCTTGGGCATTTATTGATGCTCGCAAGGACTTCGAATTACTGTGCTTGGTTCGTAGTTGCATCTTTGAATTTAAGGTTTACTGACCATTTGGTAGGATGTTTATCATTCTGCCAATGTCCATCGATGAAACCCATGATATGCACGGGGAGAGTTACTTATCAAATGCAGTAAATACTCGTATGTTGCACAATTGCAGCGCAACTCTTATCCACTTTGTTTGAATCGTGACTCAATATATCGTTCTCGCCATCTCAATCAAACACCCCTATTTTCTCAAGTTCCTCGGTTGAGACTCTCAGCAATGGAGATACCCAAAACTTTTATGAGCAGTATTCCACCCCAGTGGACCTTTTAGTGGGGTACTCAGAGGGCCACTAGTACATATCTTCGCCATATTCATAATTTGTAAACACATTTGTCACATCGGCAAATAATGATTATTTTTTAGATTTATTTTCGAGCTTATTGCAGAGGCAGACCTGAAGTCTGATATGTAATTTGATGTTAAGTCTTCCCTCGGAAATGTCACGTGAAATATGCACGAACAATTGCAAAGTCAGAGGCGTCTTCATATCTGTCACTAAATTTTAAAAATTCAGTCAATCTGTAACATATGCAGATTATGGAATAAACTCACCCTCTTTTTGGTAAACTTACTCTGAATTTGATTGATAGAATTTGATCCTCATTCTTATTTGTGATTTTATTATAAAACTGTCCATTATCCGTACAGCATACAAATGGTTTGATATATTCAAAATCTTACTCCAGATGTGTATCACATCTGCTTGCAGAGCTTTTTCGGCTGTGTCTCAGGTGATATGACCTTGCAAGCAAGGTGATGTCAGGCCTTCCCACATTATTCCCACACATCACATGTTCGCATTTTTCAGCCACACAGTGTGGGAATGACCCCACAACACCAAAAACATCGCCCATTTTGGGAATCTCCACAATATCAATTATTCCCACACCCTCCCCACCTCAGTGCAGCTTCACCACCACACCACAATAGGTCTCCCTTCATATATAAGTATATTATAATATAATAGTCCGCTTTTTTTGTTTATTTCTGTGCCTGCTCCTCCTCCAGGGCCCTTTCAAAATAGCCTAGGGTACAGAACACTTACACACTTTTGCCCCTTTGATAGGGAAGTGTTCTATTGTATTCAGGACATATTTGGGAGTGTATATGAAGAGATTCCCCCACTTTTTTGACCCCCTGAAGTGCCCTACATCAATAGATATAGCTTATATACAGGAAAATACAAAATATGTTCCCGTGTATGTATTTCTAGATAGATATACTTGGAAAAATTATCCCCAGCATCTATTAAACAGCAGGAATAATGTATAAGGAGCCCAGGACCATAGGAGAATCCCCTGTTCCATAGTGCACCCTCCCTTTCCTAGTGGTTCACCCCCTGTGAAAGTTTTTCCTGTAGGGTCGGACCTTCAGAGTGGTGGGGAGTCTATTCCTATGCATATTCAGAGTATATCTATCACCTAGCTACCATAGGAAACCTATAGGTTCGTTCAACAGGAACAAAATATGTAAAATCACATTTTCGACATTTTTGATGTTTTTCAGTATCTCACCCTTGCACACATGATCCAACCTGCTCATATATCATCAGTTGTATATATATATATGCTTTGTATACCAAATATCAGTTTAAAATGGGCCGGAGTTTTGAGCTAGTGTGTATACTTGCTATTTCTACTGATAAGGGGCCCATACTTTTGAAACATCGAAATTTAATAATCAGACACCTGGAGTACATTTCACATATATTCCGTATCATGGACTCAAAAATACAGAAAGATCCACCCAGAATAGAGAGCTGTGGAAGTGAAATAGATAAGAAATCAAGTGTGGGAAACTTTAAATGTCCCAAAGTTCAAAACATCGAAAATGATCAGTTGGTGTATACTTTGCTATGGGCCACCAATTCAAACACTTCTACACCACATCCCCCCCATCAACACTCTGCCCTCAGGGCAGTATGTAGTATAGGTTTCTTAGGTAGTCTATCATGTATCCTACACATTTTTAATGAAATCTTCGACCTGTATCATATATAAATGTGACTTTGTGTGAACAGATGTCAATTGTCACTTTTCACATATATGTTATTTTGCTTGTAATTCACTCAATCCTTGATGGATCTTTCTAAAACGTTAAAGCTATAATTAGGGATATGTATTAGAGGCATCCCAGGTGTCCGATTAATAAACATCGATGATTCAAAGGTATGGGCCCCTTATCAGTAGAAATATCAAGTATATACACTAACTCAAAGCCCCGGCCTATTTTGAGCTGATCCTTGGGATACAATGCATTTATATATGTGCTACTGATGATATATGAGAAGGGGTGATCATGTATGCAAGGGTAAAATACTGAAAAACATCAAAAATGTCGAAAATGTGATTTTACATATTTTGTTCCTGTTGAACGAACCTATAGGTTTCCTATGGTAGCTAGGTGATAGATATACTCTGAATATGCATAGGAATAGACTCCCCACCACTCTGAAGGTCCGACCCTACAGGAAAAACTTTCACAGGGGGTGAACCACTAGGAAAGGGAGGGTGCACTATGGAACAGGGGATTCTCCTATGGTCCTGGGCTCCTTATACATTATTCCTGCTGTTTAATAGATGCTGGGGATAATTTTTCCAAGTATATCTATCTAGAAATACATACACGGGAACATATTTTGTATTTTCCTGTATATAAGCTATATCTATTGATGTAGGGCACTTCAGGGGGTCAAAAAAGTGGGGGAATCTCTTCATATACACTCCCAAATATGTCCTGAATACAATAGAACACTTCCCTATCAAAGGGGCAAAAGTGTGTAAGTGTTCTGTACCCTAGGCTATTTTGAAAGGGCCCTGGAGGAGGAGCAGGCACAGAAATAAACAAAAAAAAGCGGACTATTATATTATAATATACTTATATATGAAGGGAGACCTATTGTGGTGTGGTGGTGAAGCTGCACTGAGGTGGGGAGGGTGTGGGAATAATTGATATTGTGGAGATTCCCAAAATGGGCGATGTTTTTGGTGTTGTGGGGTAATTCCCACACTGTGTGGCTGAAAAATGCGAACATGTGATGTGTGGGAATAATGTAGGGAGCCTGACATAAGGACTCATGTTGGTTCTTTTGATGGAATGATCAGATCTAGATTGCAGAGAAGCAGGGAGAGGGGCAGGATAAATTCAAAGCAGAAACAAGAGGGTGATGCAGCCCAGAAAGGATAGGAACACACTAAATAGTATTGGCTGTCCCATTATCCATCATGGACAGCCCCCAGAATGAGTAGAATCATGCCAAATTGAGTGTCTGGCAAATTATCCATCGTGGGAGCTGTAATGGATAATCTATCAAAGCATCAGTAGTCCGTGACAAGGAAGTATAACGAGTTGTCTCTAATTGGAGTCGTTTATCTATAATAATGACAGTATAGCCTGAAATACTACTAGAAGCGAATTGATCTGGACCCTCTCAGGCTATCCCTCGTATTAATCATATATTTTAAAAGTGAAGGGGATGATCATGATGTGGTTTGAGGTCGGCCCATGAATATTTGGATATCCGGGTGCCGTCGCAAAATATCATAATATTGCACCTTTGCGATTCGGCAGTGTTGTTCAAGTGTCCCATGCTGATTGCGAGCTCTTAATAGGTTGACATTTGGATGAGAAGTGCGTGCATTGAATATGATACAGATAAGTTACATGAGTGGTGAAAGATGCTAAAAATACACGTCAACGCAACCAACCAATCCCTCAATCAACGACAACAAGCCCATCAAAACTCTTCCTCCCCAACACCTTTTTCATAATCTCCATGGGATTGAACTCTTCCTCGAAGTTCCTCAGCTTCTCCTTCTCCCCGTCCTCATTCACTGCCTCCCACTCATCCTCCTCTTCCTCGAGCTCTCCCATGAACACCTTCAACAGCGATGGCAAAAACCCGTTCAGCGGCGCAACACCCTTCCGATCACCAGTCACAGGAGCAGTGTTACAGTGGCTCAAAAAAACTGTCCACATGTTTTCACATTTTTCACTATCTATGATATTGTGTGAGAATATACAAACACATCAAGGACATGCTGGTACCACATTGTAGTACTACTTCAGGGCTTCCAATTGAGCCCTATGACGTGGGAATTGGTCGAGATATGGTGGAGATATAAGGCTTACAAAATGATGACTCATGTGGACAGTTTTTTGACTCAAGTATTTTACAGTGATAATCAGGTATTCCAGTACATTGTGTGACCTCCCTTGGCTTTAATTACTACCCTCTATCCTTCTAGGCATACTCTCAATCAATTTCTGGCAATATTCTGCTGTAATCCTTGCCCATTCCACTGCTACACTCTCCCATAGCTCCTATACTCCTTTAGAGGGGGTTTCATAGGCTTGAAGCTTCTTCTTGAGTGTTCCCCAGAGATGTTCAATGACATTGACATCAGGGGACTGTGCTGGCCAGTCAAGAACATTGATAATATGTTCTTTAAACCATTGTCTGGCTCTCCTAGATGTGTGCTTGGGATCATTATCCTGTTGGGAAATAATGTCTTTTTCATCAATCCCTGATTCAGCTATGCTAGGCAGCAAGTGGTTGTTTAGAATGTCCACATACTGCTCAGCATCCATCCTCCCCTCAACTTCAGCAAGCATACCCACACCATTCCATCCCATACAGCCCCATACCATTAGAGAACCTCCTCCAAATTTGACAGTCTCACTAACCTCTCTGTCTGTTAGAAAATCCCTCTTCTTTTTCCATACATATACCTTCCCATCTGACCCAATCCTATTGATTTTGGTCTCATCTGACCATATAACATGCTTCCAATCCTCTACAGTCCAGTTTTGATGGGCCAAGCCAAAGGTAGTTTTCTCTGCCTATGTTTGATAAAGAGAAGAGGTATTTCTTCTTTGTTACTGTCTTGAGATGAGCTGCCTTGAGAACACTCCTCACAGTTTGTGAAAAGACGGTGGTGGTGATGGTGGAATTGATATAATGGGTGGCTTGGACAGCATTATTAGCCTTTCCTGTAGTGATATGTTGAATGATAGCCCTCTTATTAGCAGAGGTGGATGTC